AGAACAATTAAAATGCTGGCAAAAAGAAAAAGGGTGAATGAGGGTAATTTGAGACCTAGGAGAATGGGCAGACCATGGGATTTGGGTCCCTGACAGCCCTAGCATGGGTTTTATTCTTCCTGAACCGAGTGGCTTCCATGCTATGTTGTGACCATCTCAAATGGATGTGGATGATGGAGGGATCTTAGGTAAATTCTAGGGGGCTTCAGGGAATTTGATGTAATTGTTCTATCTCCTAGGGGCAGACAGAACATCCTCCCACATTTTCACTTTTTTTTGGAGGCTCCATAGTTTAGAGGGAGAGAGGAGGCTGCTCGAGCTGGAGGCCTCTCCCTCTTGGAGCCTCAGTTCCATCATCTGCAGGAGAGCCTTGCTGGAGTGGGATTACTCAGAGGATTCAACGAGAAAAAATATATTTAAAGCACTTCGCCCAGTGCCAGGCACTTAGCAAGTGCTTAAAGGATAGGAGCTGAAGCTCTTGTAGCTATTTTGGACTTCCGAATTCATCTAACATAGCCACTGAGGGGAATTAAAAGCCAAAGGGTGGTCCCGTGTTCCAGGTCACACCACTCCTTGAGGAGGGGCAGAGCTGGGGTCCTGTCTCCCAGGTCTCCCCACACCACGATGCCTTTTTTCGCGGCATCCCCCCGACTCGCAGGACTCATTCAGTTCAGCTGAGCTCTTGATACATCACGGTTCTCGAGGCTTCCACCTTAGTCTCCTCCCATCGAATCTTCACCCTCAACGTCCACTCAATCCCTAAATCCCGTTCGTGCTCCTTTCAAAACATTCTGCAAAAATTCCTTCTGCTTTCCTGCCGCATGGCCACTGTAGCTGCTGTTCTGTCCGGAAGTTTCTCCCCTCCTCTTTACCAATGGCTGGCCCCTTTAAGTGTCGGCCCCCATGCCTCCTCCTTGCAGAGACCGTCCAGGACCATCGCGGCTGAAGGAACGCTGCGCCCCACCCCTTCTCTCTGTCTCTGGTTTGTGGCCTGTACTGCAGTGTCCGACTCTACAATTTTCTTTCCTATTTAATTCCATCTCCTTTCCTAAATGTAAGCTCCAAAAGGACAGAGAATACGTCGTCCTTGCTCACTGCTGGGTCTCTAGCACCTGGCACAATCCACAACCCATAGGTGCTTTGGTAAATATATGCTGGGTGAATGAATGAACGAACAAACGAACTGATTCTAGAAACAGCGTATCTGGTAACACCTGGATAGGACCGAGGAAAGGATTTAAACTTGCTGGGAGGGCGACCTGGACACCTGCTTGTCCCCCTTCCTGGCCTCCTAAAAGAACAGCGCGAGGCTACCCACAAAGAGAGGGACCCTTCCAAGCACGCAACCCACACAAAAGCACATCTTGCAGTTGGGGGTGGGGGTGGGGGTGGGGGAATGGGCGGATAGCTGCTAATTGTGACTTCCAACTGGGCTGATCTTTCAGAAGTTCGAAAGGCTATAACCTCCCTAAATCGCAGGCTGCTACCGCTGCTGGAGCTGGGGATGGAAGAGGGGAGCGGTGTGCTTGGGCGCCTCTCGGGCTCTGGCACGGGGAAGCCACACCTCCTCCGCCCTCCTCCCCCCAGCTCCTCTCCAAGAGAGGAAGCAATGCAGATGGAGACGAGAAATAAATATTCCTGCCTGCTCTGTGCCACTGCAGACGTTTTCCAAAATGTCTGGCTTGGACCACGAAATCAAGCCCACCCAGGAAAGGAGGCGCTCCGCAGGAGAAAGAGGGGGAAAGGGGGGCACATTTGTCAGTACTTGTCAGCTTTCTGGGGGGCAGAGCACATGGCTCAGACTTGGCAGCCCCGCTGAGGTGGGGACATGGTAAGTGCACAGTAATACTCGAAGAATGGAATCAGAAATGGGAGCGGAGTTAAGGAGATCCTGCCAGGGTGTCGGCACCATCTCTACGCCTTTGTCCGGGGTCCCAGGACCCACAGCTGGTTCTCTCACCCTTGATTTCAAGGCTCTTTCCGCAATCCCTGCTGCTTCTGCTCTCCCCTTATACCTCCACCCCTCTCCGGGGTAATTAATACCACTGGGCTGCAGGAAGTCTTCAAAGGCCCCTTAGAATTTGGGCAGGAGCTCCGGATCCACGTGTGCAGAAGTTCCTGCCATCGCTCAGCACAACTCGCCTTCTCCAACACTGGAACACCAGCAGGGATGAGAACACAGGCTGCAAATGATAAGTGGGTGCTTTTGGCCTTGGGGTAGCCAAGTACGTGGGAGAAGCGTCACTAAGGAAGGGAAGTCACAGGCCCAGCGACAGCCCCGAAGTGTTCCGTGGTTATGGGGACTTCACGAGGCAGGCTGTGCGGCTGTAAAATGTCTCCGAAAAGGGAGATGAGAGGATGAGAATTTCGGCTTGAAACATCCCGCATGGGCTACACTAGGTCTTCTTTGTTTCTAATCCTCCCGTGAGAATCTCCCTGGCCCCGTGTCCTTGATATCGCCGCCCCCGCTCCCACCTTTCACTAGTTCCCTTGGAAGGTCGGGAGTTAGGGTGGGCCCTTGGCGGATTGAATTCTGCTCGAGAAAGAGCAGAGGGGCTTTTCTGGTTTGCGCTGGTTGAAATGCAGTGCAGTGAAAACAGTTGCTCAAAAGGAAGACTCAGGGAAAGTGGTATCTTTTGTGGGTGTCAGGGGAATGTTTTCCAGAAAAGCTGCATTTAATTCTGCCTCTTTTCACCATTTCCATGACTTCACTGAGGAATGAAAGATTTTGTAATATTCCCCACTCATGTGCCCTGAATCCTTCTTTATGAATCTTCCCGACTCATTTGCCCATCTGCCTTCTAGTGACAGGCAATTGCCAGCTGAATCCCACTCTCTCCAGGAAGCTGTTCAGTGGTGGGGAGAAGCTGGCAGAAGACCTGCTTTCCTGTCCCCATTCTTCCCATTGCTGTGTGACCTTAGACAGATTACTCCCCCTCTCTGTCCCTTGTGTTTTTTTGTTTGTCAAAGAAATGGGTTGGATACGTTTCCTTTCAGCTCTGACACATTGCGGGTGGTTCTACTGAGTGAATCAAATAGAACTCCTATCGTCACCATCCTCTTCCCACCCCACGTCTGCCAATAAATTCCAGAGACCAAGGCCATCACACTTCCAGGATTGAGTTCAATCCTTGTATTTGGGAAGGTCAGAGCTGTATATCAAAACAAGCTAGGCATGTAGATAATGTGCATACACATACAATCTAAAAATTGTTTTGCATGTTTTCTGTCTACATTTCCCTTAATTCCCAGGAAATCTAACGTGTGGGTTAGGCAAAGA